ATTTCTCCTGCGGAGCATACTTCTAAGCTCCCTATCGAACCAGGGTGGTCCCATGGCATGAGGTCGGCTCCTGCGTACGGGGGCGAATTGTTGCACCAGCTGTAGTAGGCAGTCTCGGATGACACACCACGACTCTTCCACGTCTTCTTTGTCAATCGGCTCCCAGTTTAACAACTGCGCTGCTGCACGCATGTCATCGAACTGTATCCGCCAGACATTCCGACCCTCTGGGGGTAATTGTGAGATTGAGGTCCCTCGTCTCCAGCGTACAATTAACACCACATGATCACTAGCACCGAAAGGTGGATACAGAGGTTTTTCTCGAAGCCGGTCTCATACACAATCCCCTTGACTTACTCAGCTGATGGTGGTGTCCAAGATTACAACAGATGACCAGCTTTGTCGACCCGTTATCGAAGTGACAGAAGTAACTAGCGCATCAGTTCGAAGGACTATCTAGCCGAACTATGACTACAATTTGCTCCGGACTGATTTTTTGTAAATAAGTCACAGTAAAGACGGTACAAAATTTGGCAAAACAATCTGAATGCAGAACAACTCAAGTCGTTATTCGCACATGACAAAATTTGTGAAGAATGGACCTGCGTGAGAAAACCCAAACACGAGAGATTACTCTGGCCCTCTTCAGATAAGGGACACATTGGTGTGCCCCGCGTAATTAGTTAGACGACTCCTCAGAGATCGGGAAGTTAGAGTGATTGCATTCTGTTCACTAATCTGATTCTAAACATCCAGTCAGCAGACAATGGGGTTAAGTAGATGCGGTTAAGTAGATCGTTGGGTTTTTGTTTTCATATGCAGGCAGAATACCCCGAGGAATTCGATCTTCATAGGGTCACCCGCAGGAGCATTGATTATTCGGATTTTTCAGCTCGTCCGTATTTGAGAATGAGTCGATTTCGATATTTCGATAGTGTTTCTCAGCATGGATTGGACATTCAAAGTTGAATATGGTTTTCTAGTGTAACGAACCACCATACTGTATTATCGTCCCATCTCTCCTCAGATTATCGGGGTTAAAACAAAAACCGAGTAAGCAAAGTGTGCGTATGTACATTACATCATCCAGAAATATAACACACAACAAAGTTATCAATGAAAAACACCTCGGGACCAGTTCTGTCTTAATTTGATAGGCTTCAAGTTTGTGGTCTCCATGCAGATCTATACAAGACATGGGTACACAGAATATGAAACCAGAAGTCGATTACCAACACATTATATGGTGTTGGAAGGAAAACGGATGCGCACGAAGAACAGCCCGGTGACTGGGCGTTTTCGCATTCGTTATTAGATCGATTTATTGCGAAAACCATCTATGCCCCGATCTTCATAAAACTGTGATCGACAAATTTTGCTACAATGTATTCCAGTGGATGAATTCACTGTTCTACTATTGGTGGTGAGATAAATCGGTCCTCTTTGTAAGTTCAATGAGGTATGGAATTTGTCTGCAAACGTTTTCTACCAAGTCGAGATGAGATGTTTCAGGTACGGAGCGGGCGATCAAGCAGGTATGGTTTCACAAACATTTGTCAACGTACAGAAGCAGTTCCAACGCAAACGAGTTCCGTCAATGGGAGTGAGAGTGAAAACGAGGCGACAAAGCGGTGTTGATCACTCTCACACTGGTCATCGTACAGCGAAATACAGAGAAGCGAACTTCACTGATCGCTGCCAAACTCGCAATGCATATGCATTGGGGTTTGGTAGACCGGTACTGCCAAGGTGTCCAGCCACTAAGCAGGAAAACGATTAGGCTTCTCAACCAAAGCCTTTAGTTCTGACAGGAACCCAACCGCAAGGCAGCGAGTGAAGAACCATTTACTTGGATCAATTACTCCTCCACTACTTTTTTACTGAATGAAACGCAAATTTCAGTCGAACGTCCAACCTGGAGGAGCAGGAAACTTAACTTCGTTTGACCCCTACCCTTCGACCTTCTAAGCATGATTAGATCTTTGGTTTGACAAAAGCCATCCTGTGTGGCTGGTTGGGTCAGAAATGTACACAAGCCATCACACCACGTCCAGGTGGTCTGATGTTGACATATTTCAATCACACAATCACCATAACTGCTCACATTTTTCACTTCCGAATCGACACTTGTCTTCCAGAACAACTGAACGAACCATTGTACGCTCATTGAAATATGAAGTGATCGTTATTATCAGCACTATTAGTACTACTCACCTTAATTCGCAATATGATATCTTCTAATCGCATTCGTGAAATTTCTGGTGAAAGAAATTCTGCCATTGTGTTGTCATGCACGTATTGTGAGAATAAATGGTAGCACACACCCGGTTGAACTCTGAGAGAATTGCGGGAAATGATATGAAAAAGAAAGATAAAAAAGGAAGAAGAGATGAATCAGAATTGTCA